CATACCCTATTTATGTTGGTCACCACTGTATGAAATCCTGAGAATTCCATGTAGACCAATGGATGATCTATCATCCAGGATTGATGAAACAATTATAATGCAGGTCAAAATCTAAAATAAAGCTTTTGATTTAAATTTAACAAATGCACAGCCTATGCTTTACAAAATCAGTTGTTGTTGCTTGCAGGATTAAAAAAAAACAAAGTGTTAAAGTAAAAGTAATTGACAGCTGGAAATTTACCAAAGCAGATTCCTAAAAAAAGCTTTGGCTTAAACTTCTTAAACATGCAAGCAGCTTAGTTAACAAAATGCTAAATCCAATTTAGGTAATTAATATCAGCTACGAAAGAAACAGCATGAAAGTCAACGTCACTGCCCAAAGCTGACTTCATTAATTCTCTATTCAAAAAAGAAATTATAGCAAAAATAAAAAAAATGCGAGTTAACTAAAAATGTTACAAGGTTATCACATTTGGTGCACAATCTTCGACTGGGATGAAATTAACAGGGAAGTAATATATTTACTTAAAAATAAATTCATCTAAAAATTTCAAGGTAAAAGCTTAACTAACTTTCATAAGCATTTCTTGCATACATTATCTGCAGCATTAGGAGGGTTCATCATTTCCTCCGTTACACTTTTACATTTCAAACACGGTCACAGGAAGCCATGTCTACACATAGTTAGAAAAAAAAAAAGCTTCAAATAATTTTTGGACATCATGATGATGATAGCCATGAATTTGATGGTTTCGGATATCACAACTAAAAGGCACAATTTTTAAATTAATGGGAGTTCATGAAGAAGTGATCATAAATGCAGATGATATAACTATTGGGAGAAAATGCCCCATTCATCAAACAACGGACGACAAAATCTGTAATACGGTTTTAATTCCAAGAAATATCACTACTGATAGTGAAGAAAGTGATAAAGAAGTCTCTGAGAATGAAAAGAATTCAACTGAGAGTTCAGTGAGAATTCTTGAGACGGCAATTACAGAACTTAAGCAGTGGAACATTTCACCTCAACAGAAATTTTGCCTTTCCAAAAATTAAAAAGAAAAAGAAGTATTAGGGTAAGAAATAAAACAGTTTAAATAATTCACATTGACAGAAATATTTAATACAAATAAATACCTTGCAATTTTTGTAATTTTTTATGGTAATAGATGTTGCGTTATTTCATAACCTATTTTATATTTTTAATTTTACATCATCTTAAGAGGTTATTGCATCTAATGACAGTCCCTGCTATACAAGACTTTTCTGAGAAATGAGATTCTGGTAGCACAGGTTTAAACGGGAGGTTTCTTAGAAAAAAGAGCCTACTGGAAGCGAAGTCCTGCCTAGCTATGGAAACGATGTAGTGGCTACGCAGGATGTTTTCAAACCTCACCGAAAATGTCTCGGCTGGAGATCAATTCCGGGTAGAGAACAACCAATCAGGTGAAAGTTCTGCTTCTGAAGGATCACGTGATCCCAATCGGAACGATAATCAATTACTGTTTCACGTTTCTAAGTGAAAATGGTAACCTAGCTACGTGGGTTTGCTGGAAACGTGCAGGTGCCGAGAATTGTCCCTTTTGACATCAAGGCCTGCATAGCCAAAACATAATATGATTGGGACCTTAGAATTCAAATGATGAGCTAAATTCCAGAAATTTTCGCCATCCAGAATCACTAAATGTCCTAAGAATTTCGGACCACGGACTTTGTCCTGTATTCTATTTTTACCACTTCCAATTATTAAAATCAATTTAAATTATTTTTTCAATTATTACTTTTGCATTATTCATTGCAAAGGTAAAACATATGACTACTAATCTGAAGTACTTGCTTTCAGCTGCTGCATTCCTGAAGATAAAAGCCAGAGCTATGAAGCTCCACCCTAGGTCTCATTCGTTCTAGTATGTAATTATAACTACATTTTTCCTCCCACACACAATATTTTTATTTTTTTTTTTTTTCACAAATTACATGTCTTCAGATTTATTTATTTTTCCTTTACCAGATGCATTTGCTTAAATTCAATTACATGTTCACTTATATTCTTAATTCAGAGTTTCACAGTATTCTTTAATTTATTTTTTACCATAATAATGAAGAAAAATTATTATTATTATTTTATTGTGCTCTTTTTCTCCAAGAAGAAAAAATTAGCTTATCGCTCTCTACTAAAATTTAAACTTACATACTTTGTTTTGATATACTTTAATATTCTTTCAAAAGAGCAACTAACAAAACAATTTTCTTACAAGAATTTTGGAACAGCTTTAGTATTCGTCCTTTTGGCGATTTTTTGATTTGGCGACAAACTTCGGTCGCCAATGTATACCCAGCTTTGAAGATCGGAAAAAAATGGCGGATTGTCAACAAAACCCGATCTAGACTAAATAACAATCATAAAAAATAAGCTCTTAATCAGAATAAACAGTCTCTAATTTTCAACATTTCTAGTACTGCTATGATAAATTCTTGAAACACTACCGTAAATGAATTTATGGCAGTAATTATGTTATGAGTAATGAAATTTACAAAAGGTTAATATTTTAAATTACAAAACATAACATTAATGTATTAAACATTAATATTTTAAGTAGTTAGTTAATATTTATATTATATTAGTACTTAGCTAATATTTAAAATTTACAAAAGGTTAATTTTTATGTTATGAATAATGAAATTTACAAGAGATTCATAAATGCATTTCAAACTAGTAGTATATGTTACTTTAGTTTCTTAGATTCTGTTATTAAAAGAAAATAAAAAAGTATTTCAAAGTGAAGGAAATCAAATTAAATTATAATGAGCAAGTTTTGTAGCAGCGTTAGAAATACTTTTTAATGATTAAATTTTGTAAATGGTAAAAATATTAAGAAGTGTGTATTTTTTAATCCCTAAATTTATTACAAGTAATTTATGTTTATAATTTAAAAGCTAAAATTAAATTATCATAATGAGTAAATTTTGTACCAATGGTAATAATACAACAATCATCATAAATGATGATTTCTGTGAAAAATTCGAACAGTCATTGGAATCCACTAGTGTTGGAGTGATAAGCCACTGAACAGTGGTAGTTCAGGGTATATGGCTATATGGGAGTTTTTGTGGTTTTTCGTACATGTAATGTGAATCTGAGCCAGTTTCTCTTAAAAAGTACTTTATGAAGGCATCCTTCTGCTAGCCAGCATATATATTTATTTTCTATTCATAATTCTCTTTTATTTTCTTATTTCTTAATTCTAAATCTTACTTCTGAAGTGAAGAAGTGTTGCATCTATAGGTCGAAAATTATGGTCAATATGTTTGCAAAATCCTGTTCAGTTTTGGACAGCATTTAAATAAAATAAATAATTTGTATATGATGCAAACAAAAATGCATTACACTATTTCATGTAGTGAATAATTAATCGGCACAAAGTATAATGTAACATTCTTTACTTTGTAACCAGAGTTATTTTATGCTTGGGATCTTTACTATCAATTTCATCCATCCATTTTCCCACCAGAATCTAAATAAAGTTTTTAGTTTGTAAAACAAACCATGTTTTGCCTTTCGAGGCCACGTTACTAGGTTGCTAGATAAGATAAGATTTGTAGCTTCAGTCTTGCATTGTAATTGCCGATAGTTGAATTCCACGCCGTTTAAGTTTTTAACCAACTTTGCATTAAATTGATTTATTTGAATTTAAATTTTACATTTGAACTTAATTGTTATCATAAGTTATCTTGCCACAAGTGGTTGACTGAGTTGTAAGCACAAAGTGTGCCTTATGTTCTGTACATCTAAACTTTATAAGAGAATAAAAGTATATCTTAATAAGAATATATCTAAACTTTATAATAATAACATTTAAAGACATTGAAATCAGTATCTAAGTGCTTGCCATGTCGTCAAAATTTTTATATATAAATTGTACTCTTACTTTTATTATAGAGTTTTTATTACAAAAAATTCAGATTTCTGTTAGATAAAATGTTTAAGTAATGTAGAAAATTGGCATAAAATTTAAAATAAAAAGTCGACTGTTATGTCAACATAGTATTAATAAAAGTAATAATACTCAGTGAAGGTTATTCATATACAGCTATTAGGTTGTAAGATTTACAAAATTTGAGAACTGTAAGTTATAAGCAATCTATTCCATAATCTAAGCAACATTATATTTTGTACAGTCTGTCAAATTATAAAAATGTTATAAAAGCAATAATTTTGGTCCTGATTTGAACCTATGAATTCATGCAATTACACATCCCTATAGTTCTAATATGAGGCAAAAAGTATTTTTAGACCATGGTAATTTTGATCTCCATAGCAAAGGAAACACAAAGAGTTTACCTCATGCTACCAAAAATGTTTTTTTTCTTGGGGGTTGGAGCTTATAATAAATAATATGCAGAGTTGACATATGAAAAAATGTCAAGACTCATGTGATGTAATATTAAAAGCATCAGTTTTAACTATCAAATTTTAAGCTTTTTTAAAAATATTTTAATTGCGCTTTCCTAACACAAACGGAAAGTTACGTGGACAGAAATGGCGGCATGTTTTTTAGCTCAGTATTTAGGGTTACCAAGGTTATCATAATTTTACATTTATCGCTCCAAAATGTCGCCAAACAAATTTCTTGCCAAAAAGGACTAATACTAAAGCTGTGCCAGAATTTTTTTAATGTAAACTTAACTGTTCATTTCCCAAATCCTTTCACAGTTATCATAAAACAAAAATAGAAGCAATTTCAACAACATACGCGGATTAAAGAAATGGAAAGTTACAATATGATTCGCAACTTTACGAAAATTTCAAAATCACTTGAACGCAAGATAGCGTTTAATATTGTAGCGAATGAAAAAAATAAATAGTCAATTTGTCGATAGTTCCAGATTCCTCATTAATGTGGATTAATAATACTACCAAGGATACATATTTCTAGAACTTACACAGTAGACAAGTCAATGTACATAATAAAGCATTACATAAAAGTTATACGTACCTAATGTCAATGGATCTATTGTAGGTGGCATAAACATCATATCATAAATGGGTCGACTAAAGAAAATCAAACCTGAAATTCCTAACACACCGAAATAGAATATTTTTGGATATCGATGGCTAAAGGGTAGTTTACGGGCTCTTTTATATATTGGTTTACGACGTCTAGGATATTCCTCCATACTTCTTCATACAAAATCAATTTTTCAGTTTGTTGTCAGCCGAGATTTATGTTGTTGCCATTTTTCTTCTTGTATAAACAATACCGAAATATTTTTAAAAGTAGAGATTTCTGGGAAAAAAAATTACTTTTATTTTTATAAATTATGATAATATTACCAAATGTATTGTGTTTTGTGCAACATAAGTTAAAATATTGCATATAATGTACTGCTGGAAATACAAATTTTTATCTTTAGTTAAAATTTTAAATTTCAGCTAAAAGCTCTAAGAGAAATTTGTATGACCAGCGAATCATGATTGCTTATTTACGACCAGCGATTCATGATTGCTCATTTTTACATGCCTTCACGCATGGAAAAGAATTTATTATTACTCACGCTATTTTCTATGCATCAAGTATTCCGCATATTTTTGCATATTATTATGATCTTAAAATACTTTGTACTTACTTATTTATTTGGGGATTTCTTTCTCTGTATTTTCTATCCTTTCAAATAAAAAAAATAAACACTGAAAGAAATAAACATGCTTTATATAAAAATATTTTCAACGAAAAAGACGCAAGTTAACCTGAAAGCAGACGATGTAGAATTTGTTTCGATATCATCACATGACTATAAGTTCACAAAATGAGATAAATGGTCTTGTTTTTAATGAACACGCATGTGTACTATTATTGTCGATTTAAGTGATTGTGATCTAGTTGTACTTTCATTTTTTATATATATAAAAGTTCTTGTAACTAAACAGATGGCCGGTCCGCGTTTGCTTTTATTATCCAACTCTAAGCAACACGGTGGTGATTACTTTGAATGGTGCGCTGAGTATGTGAAATCATTTTTCACGCAGTAAGTAATTTAAGATATATCACTTATGGCAGAAAAATTTTATAGTTGTACTTTTAACAATATTGAGCTGATTTTTTGAATTAGTTGCTTGTTTTATTGAGTGTACAAACAAATCCGTCGTTAAGCTGTTTGCCACCCGGTACAGTTTATGTTGCTCCGAAATTCTGCCGCACAGTGCGTTAAAATTTGATTCTCAGTTAATTTCTGCGACCTGGTGCGGCTGCAATTGTACCTGTTCTTAATCTGACTGTAAATTGGATTATTGGTTAATCTCTAGTGGAGGATACGTGATATTTCCGATTATTGGTTAATCTTTAGTGGAGGATATTAATATTTCGCCTGAAGTGGCCAAAGTATGTAAAGTACCAATTGTATCCTCAATTGAAGATTAATGAAGTATTTATTAAAAATAATGCTTTGTTAATCACAGATAAATGGTTATATTCCATTCAAGAATTGAGAAAAATTTGTTGTATAATCCTGCTTGATTGTATTCTATAATTAGCCAGGTGGAAGAAATAAATTGCCATATATCAATGTCTTATACAGCTAGGACCTCAGTTTCTAGGAGACATTGCAAGTATACATGCTCAGTAAATGATAGTGGCAACAAAATGAAAGTCACTAGACTTTCCATTGCTTATTTCTCAAAAAACTTTATTGGTATTTTCCTTTTAGAACTTAATTTTTAATTGCTAATTTCTAAAGGTACCACTTTATTGGTATTTCTTTTTGGACTTTCTTCACTCTTTACTTTTTGGTTTTGACATTTACCTTTGCCTGCATGAATGACGAAACATGAATTGAATGATTGAAGAGTTAGGTTTGGAGGCAACTTCCCCTTGATAAGTCTGTCTCCTGCCTGCTCAACAGTCATTCACTTATGCATTTTTAAAAAAATTTTTAGATTAATTTTTGTTTGCTAAATTGATGAATTTATTTTCATGGTTTGGTTTTGCACTTGATTTACTTATGCTATCTGAATTTAAATGATATTGTAGATTAGTTCAAAAATTAAAATCTTTTATATGTTTGCACATTTTTTATTTTTATTTTAACTTTAATTTGCTTTTTTACGTATATACATATTTTTTAAAATTTAAATTTCATTCCTTGCAGCAATGGTGCAAAGAATTAATTAAATTTGTATTTAAATTAAATTTATTTAAATTCAATTTATTCTTTTGAAACAATATATATTGTGTGTGTGTGTGTGTGTGTGTGTGTGTGCACTTTCTTAAAGACATAACAAAAAGTATTATTCTAGAATAATATATATATAGCCAGAATATGCGAATGTATACATGTGATCTTGGAAGCAAGTATATTTGCATTATTAGAATGACTCTTTGATGCCAGCCATGATTTTTGTTCTTACTCTTATGTCTGCTAGTTTATTGTGCTGAAGTTTGAATGCTATAAAAGGCACACACCATTGTGATTGTATAATGTCTTAGTAGAATCTAAACACTTAAAATCCATCAAGACAAATGTAAAAGCGGAACAGTAGGCATAAATGGGTTAAAACTTCAACCACACAGATCTTTGGTGACATTTAAAATTTGCATGTTATAAATTTGCCAGTTTTGCTAAATAACCACAGGAGCGGCTTTAATCAGAAAGTATCAAGCCATCTGAAAAATTCTTCAGTTTTTCAAATTGAAGTCCACTTTCTTGTAATTAATTTGTTACTCCGGCTGATCTTTAGAATATGGTAACTGGTAGTTTGGAGGCAATAAAGGTTACTACGTGGGACTTTGGTAATAATGCGAGCAGTACTTAGTTCCGATTACGCATTATTTTGTGTGAGGGAAATGAGAGATCATGGGATATGTCATGTGATATTAATGGATGAATTATGGTTCTTTAATCGGAAAAGGGGGAAAATCGGGAAAAAATCTGGAAATTTTGTATTTGGCTTTATTCTGTGTTGTGTGAAACAGTGTTCGTTAATTTTTGGATCCCATGGCCCTAACTAAAGTGAATTCGAAATGGGTATTTAGTGGGATTGAAAGGGGTAGTATAAGTGTTTCTTTAAGGTTGTGCAGATAGAAGTAAAGATGTTTTATTAAGTTATTTATTTTACCTGGTACCTGCTGTGAACTATAAGTATGATTTTAAAGATCCTGAAACAGGCGCACATACGCTTGCTTTTTATTTAGCGGAGGAATAAGAAAAGTTTATCGGACACGTAATCAATATCTGAAGAAGATTAGGTAAGTTAGTATTTTTAATTTTTTGAGGATATTATTTTATGCATTGTTCTAAATGTAAGGTGGAAGTAAAGTAATTTGGTATTATTGGGAAAATTGTTATTAGCAATGATTTAGTTTTAAAGTAATTAGGATTGTAAGCTAACTTTATTAATTTAATGTATGTGCTTATTTATATTTTAGTAGTGTTTTTGAATTTAATTATATTTTAATTAAATGATAGTTATTTTGTGAATTTTATGTTTGTAGGAATTTGGTATATGTTTAAGTTGAAGTAAACGTGCATGGAAATAATTTAAATATTTGACACTAAGTATTTGTAATGTTTGCGGTATGAATTCGTTGGTGACGTTTATAATATAATAGATAATTTAGAGGTAAAAGTTTTTGGATATTTTATTTATTTTATACGTGGAAATGTTCATGTTTGGAAAGGGTATATACTTTTTCATTATTAGGTAATTTCAGATATGTTCTTTTTAACGGGTTTAAAGATTCAGAAAATTGTCATGCATTTTCGTGAAATTTTTCTAATTTATGAGAAAAAAGGAGTGTACATGGATATGGTGAAGAGTGTGCGCAATGCCATTTTTGTGCAATTCTGGGATTTTTTTTTTTTTTAAGTAAAAATAAGTCGATGTGTACATAGTGTAGTGATATTTTAATTAAATGATAGTTATTTTGTGAACTTTATGTTTGTAGGAATTTGGTATACGTTTTAGTTGAAGTAAACGTGCATGGAAATAATTTAAATATTTGACACTAAGTATTTGTAATGCTTGCGGTATGAATTCGTTGGTGACGTTTATAATATAATAGATGATTTAGAGGTAAAAGTTTTTGGATATTTTATTTATTTTATATGTGGAAATGTTCATATTTGGAAAGGGTATATACTTTTTCGCGATCAGGTAATTTCATATATGTTCTTTTTTACCGGGTTTAAAGATTCAGAAAATTGTCATGTATTTTCGTGAAATTTTTCTAATTTATGAGAAAAAAGCAGTGTACATGGATATAGTGAAGAGTGTGCGCAATGCCATTTTTGTGTAATTCTGGGATGTTTTTTAAGTAAAAATAAGTCGACGTGTACATGGTTTATGTGTATATGTTTTTTGAAAAACGCGTAAGGAGTATAGTATTGTGCACTTTTTCCCAATTTTGCAGTGAATATTTGTCATGATTAAGCAGTTTTTGTTAGATAAAATTTCTAGCATAAGTGTAATTCGGCTAGTAGATTGTTGGAAGAAGTGTTCAGTAGATAAAAAGAAAAGAAACATGTCTTTACTTCATGAAGACAAAATGGCGGCGGGAAAAGAAAAATAGAGGGTTGCTGTAGGAGAGTTGGTCGCCAAAAAATCACCAAGTTACCATAATCTAAATATCAACTTTTTATTATTGAGCATACCTGGGAAGTTTTGTTTCATCCCGCATATTCACCAAAACATGCACCCGTCGGATTTTCATCTCTTCGGGTCACTTCAGTATTCTCCAAATGATGTGGAGTTCACTTCTTATGAGACTATGAAACCGCAGCATTGATAACTTCTTTACGAATAAACCTAATAGCTTTTTTAAAAAAAGGAATTTTCTCTCTGTCTGAGAGATGGTAAAAAGTCGTAGAATAAAATGCTGCTTATGTAATTCAGTGAAAGTTCTTATATTTTTTACTGCTTTGTTTATATTTATCATAAAAAAACTGGAGAACTTTTTGGATGACTTGATATTTGCACAAAAGTCTCATTGAGAGGTTACTACCTGGTGAGAAGAAATGGAGAACCTTTTGATTCTAACCCCCAAGATGGCAAAAGTAAAGTATTTGGGGATGCTAAATTTAAAAATTTCATTATTAGATAATAATTTTAATCTTTTAAGCATACTTTTTAAGGTCCTTATTGTAATATTAACTCCAAGTCCTTCAGACCCTAATTAAACTAGCTAGCAAGTTATATGCTAAGTAAATACGACAAAGTTCTGTGAAGGTTTTAAATAAATATTTTTCTTAAACAGAAGGCATCACTTGTGCTTACAATCAATCCTCCATCATTTGTAGATAGCAAACTAATATAAAGCCGAATTTACAAATTAAAAGTATTATAGCCAGAGACCAAAAATTTGGTCTAACTGAGCCAGCTCAATTTTAAAGGGTCAATTAGCAAATGGCTTATACCAGAATATTAACTGACATAGCTGAGTGGTAGAAAGTAAAGCTGCAAGATTGCTGCCAAAAATTCTACATCTTAAATATTAAAAACCTTTACTTAAATATGCTTCAATTTCATTTGCATCCTGGCAAAGGCTAATACACTGCTGCCCATTAAAATTGTAACACCCTGAAACACAGCAAAGATTAAAAAAAAAAAAAAAAAAAAAGATATTTCTTGTGCGTAAACAGTGTGGCATGAAGACATAATGATTAAATTTGTTAGCAGTTTTAGGGATTTACAGGGTGCAAAATTAATAGAAACAGCCTTTACCCGGTTAAGCATGGAGTCGAACTGGGCTCGAATGACAGAAACGGGCAACTCATTCCATGCTGCTTCAAGTATATGCCACACTTCATCAACCGTATTAGCTGGAGAGTGGCGGCTAGCCAGTCTCTCAGCAACCCATGACCAGATGTTTTCAATGGGTAACAGATCTGGAGATTTGTGCAGGTCAGGGCAGCAGTTGAAAGTCACCACATGTTATGGACACGAGGTCCGATTGGTTTTGGTCTAATAAAAGCGCTCGTCCCCTGAGGGTCGGAGCTCTGCTGCATGTATTAGCTCTAGAATTGCCACAGTTATCCAAGTAGTAAGGTACGATCCAAGGAACCATAACTGATTTAATGAGCCATTTGCGGTTTTGCCTTAATACGGCATGTACTTAGACATGCATGGAATACCCTGTGTATCGAGACAAGTCCGAACGTGATGTGCAACATGTGGTCTTGCATTATCTTGTTGGAAGATGATGTTTGGCAACCTTTGAAGACAGGGCACAACCACTGAACGTAAGATGTCAGAAATGTATCAATCTGCATTCAAATTACGGTCGATCCGAACTAGAGATGTGCGTGTCGTATATCCAATGGTTGCCCAAACCATCACACCAGGTACAGAGCCCCAATGCCAATATCGAGTGCAAGCAGGCGACGTGCAGTCTCTTGGAGCCTCCAGATCCATATACAGCCATCAGAATACTGCCTGTAGAGCCAGGACTCGTCTGAAAAGATGACATTGTGCCACTCCTATATCCAGCTATATTGTCGTTCGGTGCACCAGAGTCGTCTTCTCTCTGCTGCATTGTCAAGGGAAGCCAAAGTAATGGTTGCCATACTGATAGTCTACGCACCATACGTATGGATACTAGGCATGCTGCAAACATGTCCAAACCCTGACTAATGGTTCATGATGTGGTTGTATGTTTTTGCAAGGACAACCTCACAAAATGTCTGTCCTCTTGAGTATTAGTCATGGGAGGTCATTGTGATCCTGCATGCCATTCAATAGGGTCCTCAACAACCCATTGATTCCATATTCGCATTACAGTGGTTGGATGTCGACCACTGCGATGGGCGATATCAAAGACGATAATCCATACTCTCAATAGGCAATGATCCTACCTGTATCAAATTCTGACACTTGCTGGTAAGCATTTCTTATTATTCGAGGCATAACAGAATATTCTGAGCAAACTCCAACCTTATAAAGTACTATACGAATGAGAAATCCACCATACAACGTTTCTTTTATGCGGTGGTCTGATGTAATTCCTCTCTCCTACATCATCTAAATGCGCTGAATTACTAAACATTTCCATACCCAACATCTTCCTTTCAAGAGATTTTGACATTCGTAAGATCATTCCTTCCTGTATTGCAATTTTAATGGCCAGCAATATAAAAAGAAAAGTTATAGTAAAAGTTCATATGATAAAAATTAGTTAATCAGCATTAAAATACCTTATAACTTACTGGTGAACAATGCCAAGTATGTGCAATTCTGCATTTTGTTTTTAAGTGAAAACTGATTGCTATGTATGTATTGTTGATTGCGAGAACTGAAACTGAACTGAAACATTGTGAAAACTGATTGCTTTGTATGGAGAGAAAAATAGTAATCTATTATGTGATGTCTTTGATCTTTAGTTCCAAATTTGCGCAATTCTCCATTATTTTTAAACAGATCATTGTATATATGAGGAAAATGACAGTGATATCTAATCATTACATATTGTACAATCCTTATATTAACAATTCAAATTTGTGTTTCAAATTGTATTTTAAATTTTTTCCTTCTGATATGCTGATAATACTGAGTTATGATGAATATTGATAGTTTGATTACCATTTTTGGAAAAGTTGCCAAATTAACCAGTTTGTTCCTAATGATTAGCTTCATTCATTCTCTCTCAGAAATGGATGATGCTGGGCATAAATTAGCTTGTCATTACATGGGTCGAAGGCAGACTAGCAACAGGCTAATGGTTGATTTTATTTATGATTATTCAAGAGGCAGGCTGGATTATTCATTTTGAGAACTCTGTATTTGAACATGAGGATATATTTCAACAATAATAACAACTCTCTTTTTCTTAAAATGTAGCAAATTGTGTGTGCTGTCAGTGTTTGCATTCTTTGGTATTTTAAAATAGGCATTTTAAAATTACTTTCTGTCTTCTGGCTTGCCTTGTAACCATGATAACAGATTCTGTAATACATGGTGAAATCCTTTAATTTACTAAAAACGCCATAATGTGTTGGTGATGACACTCATGATGGTAAATGAGGGAAGGAGTGTTATGACGTTGGAAGTGACTGTTTTAAAATACAGACTTTAGCACTTGCTACTCTCCAGATCTGATTTGCATTTTTACAACTATATTTTACCAGAGTTTTACTACAAAATGGAATGAAATGGAATTTTTGTAAGCTTAATTATAAGTGAAGATTTAAGCTGCTATTATTATGTATGTGATCAAATATGTGAAGTGTGTATCTAACTCTGATAATCTGCATCCATTATAGGTGCAGATTTAAATTTATTAAATTAGGGGGGTTTCTTTTTCAATATATATCTTGAGAGATGTGAAACCACCAAATTAAAAAGAACAAAGTAAACATTCCTTCTGATACAAAAGCCACCTTAAATCGAGCACACTTACAGTCTCAGTGAGTTCTGTAGTGGTAAAATTCCTCACAAAAAACATTTTTACTATTTTATTCCTTTTTTCTTTTTAGTGCCACAGATATATCTCGTAATTACTGCTAGTGAAATCAAGTCATAATTACTATTGCCAAAAGACTGTCATAATTACTCTGTATACCACTAAAAGGCTGCTTTCTGATTATCTTCTTCCCCGCTGAAATACCATTAACTCATTGTGGACTTTGGAAAGCATTTGTAAACTGTTGGTAGCTAATTTTTCACCAAGCTAATGTGCCAAAGGCAAGAAGCATTTTCAAAATAGCAGTGCATTAAGAATTTTATATAAAAGCCCTTAATAAAATTTAAAAAGTAGGAAACTTTGATCATAAAACACTTAAGTATGAGGTTTAAGAGTTTTGAGAAATCCTGTAATTTTTTGTGGTGTAATTCTGTTAGCGATATGTTTAAAAAGAAAAAAGTCAGAGAATTTTACAAATTTGGCATTGTGTGCAACTCAGCATTATGCACTGGCTAACAATAAATGAACCAAATAGCTTTTGTTACAGTTATGCCTATCTTGAGATAAATTTCCGAACTACATTGTAGCATTTTGCTTGCCATTTTTTCTCGTTGCATTTCCATACATTTTGGTCATTTAAGAAGCATAACTTAGAATGTGAATTTTTACATTCTGTGTTGGGTAAAGCTCCCTATTTCTGCAGAAATGCAATGATTTCTTTTTCAGCGAACATGTACTGTGTACATATCTGTAATACTACATAAATACTTGGTAAAATTTTACTCTATGGTACCCCTTGGTGAATTGTTTCTTTTTTTCGCCAAGATCGGCGCCAGGAAGGATCAGCGGCAATTTTAAGATGGTCGCTACACAAAACCAAAATGAGAAATCAAAGCTACACAAACTTGGTCTTCATGTACACATCAACCTAGTTTCACTTAAAAAAAAACATCAAAGAATTGCACAAACTAGGCACTGCCTTAACTTTGTCCATGTGCACATCAATCTATTTTCACTTAAACAAAATCAGGAAGTTAAAAATATCATGTTAACCAGAAAAAATTCGCCATTGTCTTAACACACAGAGACGAACAAATAACCAAAAATACATATTTCTTAACATAAAAACATTAAACAACAAACCTTTTAACAAAAATTAACACAGAGACGAATAAATAAATGAAACATCAATTTTTTAACATATCTTTTTTTCACGTGCATACGTTTAGGTTTCCCACTACCATTTCCTCTATCCTCCAAGTAAGCAATTCAATTAAATTGTGTGTTGTTTCGTTTCTGCTGTTAATCAACATTCATCCTCTTACCCAACTCAGAAATACTCAAATCATGGTACCCACAGCAAAATACTAGGAAGTTCAAAATCCAAGACCATACCACGCATGTGCAAGCAAACACAGCAGCTAAAAAGAATAGTAAGAACCAAAAACCCAGGTCGATATGAAAGGGTTACTATTACAAAAAAGTGCAGCGAGCTTCCAGATTTCACGAACAACCAATACCGCTTGCCGATTTTTTTCAGGAAAAAACAAGGGTACCGTACAGTAAAGATTAGCCTAATACTTTTTGGTGACATTGTGGGTTGCCACGTAACTACTACAGTTAATACTATTCTGCATTTCCTTTGTTTTCCTTTCATTAATACTTTTTTGCAACTTTTTAGTAGAAGTGCGGAAAATCAGAAAATATTTATAATTTAATGCTTGTTATGCTTTTTATAACATAAAATATAATATGTGTCGCAATGCAAACTACAAAATATAATTCAGAAGTCAAACAACAAAAATCAGCGTTAATTTACAAAATTTTCACAGGACTAGTTTCGATGGTTTTACCGAACCATCATCTTCAGCTGCAAAACCGGCTTCTGAATTAGTATTTATTCGGCGTGTTATTGTGTCTTAATTACAAAATATAATATGTGTTTGATTTAATTTATATTGTATATATTAGGAATAATGTCTCTGAAGTGCTCTTCATTCCATATGCTATCAGAGATTATGATGGATATAAAAATAAAGTTTCTGGCCCATTAGAAAAGTTAGGTAAGTGTATTTTTTTTATATTTTTCTGTATTCGAATAATATTGAGTCAGAAATTATAAAATGTGTTTTTTATATTTTGTCTAGCAGTTGAGAAAATTAACTTATGATTTTAAATACATTACTCATCTAATATCTTTCTAGTTTACTTTTATATATATATAATGCCTGTCATACACTATCTTCTGATTGCTTCTGTTTTGCTATGTATTGAAAATTTGGAACCACTCTTATATGCACCCTCAGGTCGCCAAATTTCTCACCAAACATTTTTGGCGAGAAACTCCACACCGCCATATTACTATCTACATATTTTGTCTACGTTTCGAATTTTAAGCCTAAAATGTCTCCAAAAACATGGTTTTTGCAAATGCAAAAACCATGTTTTGAAGACACAATTTAAGCTAAAAATCCAAAACAAAAACAAAAAATTTAGATAGCAAAAACGTAAAGTTTCTAACCAAAAATATTTGACAAAAATCCATGTACACAGCGATATGTTTTAACTTAAAAAAACATATATGAATTGCACATTGTAGGCAGCGAAGGAATCTACAAACTATGCACACCTCCCTTCAATAAATTAACATAACAACAATAAATTTCAAAGAATACCATGTACACAGCATTCTGTTTAAAAAAAACAGCTACGAATTGCACAATCTAGGCATTGCACACAAATCAACCAAATAAACTAAACTAAATTACAAACAATTCAAAAAACAACAATAACAACAGAAAGTCATAGTAAAAAAATGAACATAACATTCTACAAAATAAAAACAGTAAAATAAAATGTACTTACCATAATACATTCCTGAAAAAAATTTCGCCAGTCACACATCTCTGAACAAAAGTGCCACAATTTTGCTATATCACATGTCTTTCTTAGATTCAAAATTTCGAAATTAACGATTAAACTTCCTCCAAAGTTAACTTACTACACTAAAACCACGATCCGGTCTTAAACTCCGCTGATAGCTACATACTTTACCAGCAACCATTTGACTGGATCCACACAAGAACTATCAGAAACGCTCTTCTGCGTCCGAGCTCTCATTGCAGCTCCGCATTTCAGACTCGGTTTTAAAAGTCCCACAGAAATTCCAAAAATACACTTCAATCCGCATAAACATACTGTGAACAAAAGGCTCGTTAACAATTCCATTGTACCTTTTAATGCTAAATTTACTTTCCACACAATCTAAAATATGCGACTGAAATCTTGCCACCACGTCTATCAATACAACATAGGCCATTTCAAAACACTCATGACACGAACCAACGAGCAATTAAACCACTCCAGCAAAAGATTTTTCAACGTCAACAGGGTTGCCATACAACATGCAGTCTCACCAAAAACCAGTGCAAAACACATATCGCCATATTTGGTGATATTAGGGTGCATATAAGAGTCCAATATTTTATTAAAAATTGCATGGTAATTGAGAAGCAACAAAGTACAGTACAAAGTCCATAATCCGGACTCATCGGAACTTCGGCGATTCCGAATTAGGGGTTTTGCCGGATTATAGATCATTAATTTAAATCTGGTAAGATGACATGCAGAAATTATACTATTAAAAATATGAAACCATAATTTATAAATAAAAAAGTTGATCTAAAGGTTATCCAAATTTTACCAAAAAAAAGGCCTAATATCTAGTGTTTACTTATTAACACTTTCTTTAAAGCAAAAGCAAAGTATGCACATTCTCTATGTGCATGCGTAAAGTTTGTGGCTTTGAGGTCCGGATTATAGATCATTCCAGATAATGGACGTTTGGATTACGGACTTTGTACTGTATTATTGAGAAGAGTATTAGATTATTTTCTTTCAACAAACAAACAGTGTATTGTTACAGTTTGAAAGCTATATTGAAGAAGTTACACAATTGGCAATGATTCATCAATTTTTGTTGCCAACATTTTATTTTTCTTTGTGTCTTTGATGGACAAAACATCATGACTATTTTAAGCTAAGTAGTATTTCGTACAGAGAGAGTAGATTGAAATCATAAAATTTTAATACTTAAAATTTATTAATTTTTTTTAAGTAAGGTTTCCCTCCCCTTCTGTTTACAGTAAACCCTTACTGCAGAACGTAATTTTGTATGCAAGCGATATCTTTATTGTCTCCATTTATTTAATTTGTCCAACATAAGGATTTCAGTTATACGTGGTATGCTGTAGAGCAGCAGTTCTCAAACCTTTTGACTAATGCGTACCATAAACAGAAGCTGAAAAACCTTAGTACCACCACTACATTTTATAATCATTATTGTTCAGTTTTTCAATAGAAATATTAAAATATATGTAAGATAAAAAAATGCAAATCAAAATTATAATTTAAAATGTCTCTTAATTGCTCATTTTTAATTTGGGTACTTTTTCTCTAGTAATAACTTTTTCTAAACTGCGTCATATCTGAAAATGTGTTTCGCATTATGTCATCTTGAAACTAATGCATTGCCTATAAGTTTCTGCCAATCAGATTAACAAAAACTTTTACTATAAATATTGTTGCAATCCTACCCCCACTCTCTTTCTCTACTTATGCTTGCTGGCTGAAGGATGTCTTTTGCTTTGCTGCTTTTGTTTAAAATGTAATGCGCCATCATCAAAATTGTGGGGTGCAGATTGCCCCCCCCCATTGTGAAGTGTCATGAGTAATAAAAGTATATTTTTAATATCAAGTGATTTTTGTGAGTCTTCAAAAGTTCCAAACTGCCAAGCTAAATTTTATCATCACATATATATATGTAAGAAAAAAAAAAGAATATGTAAAAGAGTAAATTAGCAGCATAAATTAATTTCCCTTCTCTATTCTAAAAATAGCAACATCTATTTGCACTGCATCATTTCGAGAAAAATCTATGTCACATAACTCTTACGTAATTCTGGGGATGTAAATTGAACTAAAACTCAAGCAGCCAATAATAATTTTACAGTAATATTAACTATCCAATCAAATACTTTGAGAACCAAAACTAACTCAGTTTGACTTAAGATTTCATCCTGAATATAATGCACTTGCTTTCCACGCTTTGGCCTAGCTAGAGTGCTGTCTGTCTGCTGCTGCTTTCTTGCACCAAAGTTATAAAAAATGTAAGCCTTTTGGAACAGGCACATTTAATGTGCCAACTTGTGTGTAGCCGCAACATGTTGCTGAAAATAAAACTGAAGATTTAATCTGCCGTTGTCTCCAATTTTTTAGTCATTATTTAGATTGAACATTGGTTACCATTTTAATTATCAAAATTTAAGTTATTAATACATTAATTACAAAATTTAGTGTGAAATTTGGGCCTGTTTAAGAGAGATCAATTTCTTTATGTCTGGTGTTGTTTACCTTAGTTTTAACTGTAAATTAGGATCCACTTTCAATTTTGTTCTGTATTTATTTTTCAAATATGACACAGAAGAAAATCTTTGTTCACATGAATAGGCTGTACAAAAAGGCAATAAAAATTGAATAGCTTTATTTGAAAACCCCTTTTAATTTTTTTTTTTTTTTTTTTTTTTTTTTAAGTTTAGCTGAAAGTTAACACGTGTTTTATGTGTTATTTTTTAAATCTTCAATTAGAGTTCGATCTCAGGAAATTTCTGTCAATTGTTCTTCACAAGATAAAATTTCAGGTACATTTGAAGAAAATGCATTTCTAATCCAATTTTCTTACTCATAATCCTTGGGAAAATACAGGTAGAAATTATTTATCAATGAAAAACAATGATATTTAATGTCAGTTGCTAATTCCTCTTTTATCATCAATTTTTTTTTAGTTAGGAAACTTTCTAAAAGTGGTAGAAAGCTTAAAATATTATTATTCAATTCTTTGATTATTAGATCGAATATTTTTATCATTGCATTTATTTTATCTCAAATAGTAAACAAATTAACACTTTGTAATCCTAAATTTAATTCATTTAACTTTCGAAAAATATTAGCTAAATATACTGAACTCGCGAACCATAATTCAGTAAATAAACAAATTTGAAATTCAAATTTTGAATCTCGGAGGAAAATTTGAATTTCTGATCGAAGTTTAAAAATATGATTTAAAATTTTGCCTCTGAATAACCATCTTACTTCAGAATATAACAAAAGTGTTTCATGTTCACGGCCCATCTCTTGCCATGAAATTGTAAATATTCTTGTATTTAAAGTTTGGTTTTTAATAAAATTTACAATTTTGACAGATTGATTCAAAAAGATTTTCAGGTTTTTGGGGATTATTTTGGCTAGTAAAGCTTAACGATGCATGGAGCGATGAGTAAATTTAGTTTCACATGCAACTTTCTTTCTTTGAGAAATAACACCGGAATGTTTCCCTGTTCAAGCTTCGTCAATGCATATGGCAATGCACTTATTCTAAAGAATATCATTCTCAGACATAAAACTGTCAATTACTTTGATAATTTCATTTGCAATTGTTCTGTCATGAAGATATTCACAAAATAAATACTCTTTGGAAATCGTTTATCATCTTAAAAACATAATTGAACAAAGTTCATTATATCAGTACTTTCATCCAATTACAATGTGAAATACTCAGTCTGTTTTATTTTTTGAGTAAGTGTCTCTTTTATGAAAATTTCCACTTAATGAACGTTGACTTACTATATCATTTGATAATGGAATATTATTAAGTTCATTAGCTGCCTTTTCATTGAATAATGTTAAAATGATATCTTTAGCAGCTGGCAATATAAGGTTTTCTTCAATAGTGTGAGCCTGCCCACTCTTGACAATTCTTATGCTTTCAAAGCATTTTCACTTGAAGTAACAAAAATTACTATTCTTGTCAGCTATGCAGCATCCAGCGATTGAAATTTTATGTCAAGTTTATGTGATGTATATTGCAACTAATGGACATGGCTGTTGGAGACGGCGGCTACAGACAGACGATTACGTAGCAGCTGTGCAAAGTCGACAGAAGGAGTGCCGCATTTGATTGGACTGTTTTTTTATTATTCTTATTTTTTCTTTAACTGTGAACTAA